TTGGGTTTGTTTGCAGGAAATCAATAGGGTTTCATCTGCAAACAACAAACTCTGCAGTTTGTCATCTCCAAAGATCATGTTTTATTCAAGCAGCTCACCTGTTTGCATGAATGAAACACTTCAAGAGAAAGGGCAGCTGCAGTCTATAGCTGTCATCAATCCCAAACCAGAAGTCAAAGAGGGAAAGCTGTCCTTGGGCCAGGATGGAATCAGATGTCTGCAAATGCAGAAGCCAAGCCTCTTGTCTCCTCAAACATTTACTAGATCCTCTTAATTAAAAGGCGCTCCCCTCCCCAAATTGGTTCTCCTCTGTCACTTTTGGTATCCATCAATAATCAAGGATCTTGTTCTTGGGAAGAGAGCACTGCCTGCCGCAGAGACAGAGAAATGAAAACATTCCCCAGGATTTTAATGCATACTGTGACTCCTCCAAAAGGGCCTAACAAGAAGAAGAAGAAGAAGAAGAGAAGAGATTGGATTTATACCCCGCCCTTCACTACCCAAAGGTGTCTCAGAGCGGCTTACAAACTCCTTTCCCTTCCCCTCCCCACAACAGACACCCTGTGAGGTGGGTGGGGCTGAGAGAACTCTGACACAAACTGCTCTTTTTCAAGGACAGCTGTGCCAGAGCTTGTGGCTGACCGAAGGTCATCTCAGCAGGTGCAAGTGGAGGAGTGGGGACTCAAACCCGGTTCTCCCAGATTAGAGTCCGCACACTTTACTACTACACCAAACATGTGTGAGCCGGAGGCTAAAAAACTGTGAGCCAGCTCGCACTGACTCAGCTTAGAGGGAACACTGGCGCTGTGTCGCTTTGAAGCAACAGGACAAAGTCTGAATCCAGAGGCACCTTTAAGACCAACAAAGTTTTATTCTGGGTATAAACTTCCATGCGTGCACACATGCAAGACTGAAGATGCGGGACTGTCAAAAGGCAGTCAGTCTGACAACATCCCAGAAAACAGAACAGAGAATGTCTCCAGAAAACAGGGACAGCTGGAGCATGTGAACATTCACTGGGAATTTCTCCTGGAAAAGCCCTCTCAAATGAATGGGAACTGCGCAGGAAAGAGCTTAGACAGCAACCCACAGTTCTGTCTCCCAAATGAGAGGAACCATTCTCTACTCCTGGCCCTTCTTGGTAGACCTAAATAAATGTGTGTGTCAATGTTCCCTCTAAGCTGTGGAGTCTTGTGAGCCAAAATTCTACTTTGTGAGCTACTGGCATTAAAGTTGTGAGCGAGCGATTTGGCTACTGCATAAATTAGTTTGCTCTGGAGGCATCCTTCCTGAGCGGAGACAAAAATGTGTGAGCTGGAGGCTAAAAAACTGTGAGTTAGCTCACACTAACTCAGCTTAGAGGGAACACTGGTGTGTGTGTGTGTGTGGGTCCATAATCAATGCTGCGGCACTGAAGCTGCCAGCAGAGGGAACACTGGTGTGTGTGTGTGTGGGGTCCATAATCAATGCTGCGGCACTGAAGCTGCCAGCAGCTGCAGAACCACCCCCCCCACACACACACAAAGCGACAGGCTGTGATCAAACTAGTTTTGATTCAAGCTGAACCAAGGAAAACCTGATTCCTCCTCTGGGAAGGGGATGAAAGTCAGTTCAGCAGTCACATGCATGGCTGCTGCAGGTCCCAATTGGCTACGCCTTCCCTGTTCTCTCCTCTCCTGACCACATGCCACCACCCCAAACAGTTTTTCAAGTATCTGTAAAGGCTTCTGATGGGTGTGTGTGTGTGTGTGTTCAAATGCATATGTGCCTTGAAACAAAAAACAACTAGAACCATAGAATCATAGAGCTGGAAGGGATCTCCAGGGTCATCCAGTCCAACCCCCTGCACAATGCAGGAAATTCACACCCCCAGAGGATGGCAAAAACAATTCCATTGAACATATTTACATTATCAACTGGTTCACCATTTCTTGAAACGTCAGCCCTCAAATAAACCTGCCAGTGGCACACTGGTCCGAGGGCAGATCTAGGATGTGGGAGAGCCAGGCTGGAAGCCCCCCTCTGCCACTGAGGCAGGCGGCAGGGTCCTGGGCCAGTGGGGAATTTCACATCACCCAGTTTCACCCAGTTTCAAGCCGGTAATGATCCATTTTGAAGTGAACCGGTACAGGGCTGCCATTTCACACAGGGCTTTCCCGTACCGAAAAAGAGCTGGATCAGAAGCGGTTTGGCATTTCAGACTGCACCGCTTTGTTTTCCCGCCGTTCTCCGCCCGCGCGGGTGATCTTTTTTTTATTTACAGCGCTATAGCGCTATAACGCAACAGTGGTATAGCAACCCTATTGGAATACATAGATACCTTGAACGTTCAGGGGGGGAAAAGCCGGAGATCGCCCACGCGGGCGAAAAACGGCGGGAAAAAGCGCATCGGAACCGGGAGAGGGAACTGAGGACTACTTGTAAGCAGTTGACAGGTAAAACGCTTCAGCCCCGTTTCCTAAACGGGACAGAAGCGTTTGTGTGTGAAATGACAAATATATTCCGGAAGAGAACCGGTTCTAAAATGGGTTCTGTCTGAAATGACAGACCTGAAACCGTTTGGGAACCGTTCCTCTTCCAGATTATATCGTCTGTCTGAAATTCCTCTCTCTCTCAGCCTAGCCTGCCTTACAGGGTTGTTGTTGGGAGGACAGAATGGAGGAGGGGACTCGCTTTCAGTCCTCATGGGGAGAAAAGTAGAGCAGGAATAATTGGGGGGGGGAATAATCCTTTGAGAGAATCCATGACAGATAAACCAAGTATGTGGAACACCTTTTCCCCAAATGATGTGTTCTCCTGCTCCTGCACTACAGCCAAGACAAGTGTCAAGAGAAAAGCCCACCTTTCCTGGGCTATTCTTCCACTTCCAAAGCCAGATGGAGGCCACAGGCTCCAGGGCAGCTGAAGTGGTGGTGGGGAGTCAAGTCACCCTTTGAGAGCACACATTCGTACTGCAAACCAAACCAGAATTTTCAATCAGATCTATCAAAAGCCAGAACGTCCAAAGGAAGATTTTCACCTCCGACTTCTCAAAACGTCGAAGTGAATTTCTGATTTGTGACTATCTTCCTTCTGTCCTTAGTCTCTTGGAATCGATCAGCTTGCAATACCCACCAGGATGTTGTCTTTCCAGGTGTTTACAGATGCTCCAAACCACTGGTTGGACTTGAATGTTTTCGCAGTAACGGACCTGTGTATGCCGGTGCGGTCACCTGGCCAGCAGTGGGAGTGGGAAAGAAGCAAGACATGAATGAGGGAAGGCAGGCACCATGGACTTTTCCTCAGAAAGTCAGAGACTGTGACTCATAGAGCCTCTGCTTTGCATACAGAAGGTCCCAGGTTCATAGAGCCTCTGCTTTGCATACAGAAGGACCCAGGTTCATAGAGCCTCTGCTTTGCATACAGAAGGTCCCAGGTTCATAGAGCCTCTGCTTTGCATACAGAAGGTCCCAGGTTCAATCCCCAGCATCTCCCCTTAAAAGGGTTCAGGGGCTAAGTGATGTGAAAGACCTCTGCCGGAGAGCCGCTGACCTCGATGGACCAAGCCAGTATCAGGCAGCTTCATGTGTAACCAAGTAGGCAAAGGATCGTCCCTCCAACCCACTTCTTCACAGCTTAAAATAAACAACCAAGAAAGTTCCCAGAAGATACAAATCCCAGATAACTCACTACAGGCTGGTTCCAACCAGCTTTCCCACTGGTTTAAAAGGGAGGAGACCAGGTCCCTTTTGGCCACCAAAATTGTTATGCAGCTCATCATGAGACCCACGTGGACCAGAGCCAAGTGGGACAAATACTGTCAGGGGTCATTTCCCGAAGGAGCGCACAGGAGCGGAGCTCCGGCAGTAAAGAGCCCAGGGGGCGGGCACATGCAAAAAGCCCCACCCCCTGCTCCCAGCAGCCCTCAGTTAGAGCAAGAAGCAGCCCGGTAAGTTGCAGAGCTCCCCCCAGCCCCCCGGTCCAAAACAGTCCAGTGGCACCTTTAAGACCAAGTTTTATTCAGGTACAAGCTCTCCCTCCTCTGCGAGGACAGATCTGCACGTTCCCCCCCCCCCCATAGCTAGCAATCGAAAACAGTCCAGTGGAGCCTGAGCGGTGGGTGTTGCCCTCTGACACAGTTCCGGTGATGTCAGGGAGTGTGACCTATGCAAATAAGTTATGCTAATGAGTTACGCTAATGAGCTCCTGCACCTTTTTTTTTACGAAATGGCCCCTGAATACTGTAATGTGAAGGACAACTGGGCCAGATCCAGGGGGGGGGGGATCTGCCTGGATCCAACCCACATGCCGCAAATAACAAGATGAACAAGGGATGCTGGAATGATGACAAATACATAATAAATTGGGAGTATATTACATACACCCACTCAGCTAAATGACACTTGCATTCTACGAGCCTATTCCTGGAAGGCCCTTCTTCCCTAAACCCAAGCATTCGCAAAGCCAGACAGTCTATGGCTTCCAGCTGCTTGACCTTCACTGTGCTAGGGTGCAGGCCCCTGTTCATAAGATGTTTAATAGACCGTTTCATGTCAAAGAACATAAGAGAAGCCAATGTTGGATCAGGCCAATGGCTCCTCCAGTCCAACACTCTGTCACACAGTGGCCGAAAATACCAGGTGCCATCAGGCGGTCCAGCAGTGGGGCCAGGACACTAGAAGCCCTCCCACTGTTGCCCCCCCCAGCACCAAGAAGACAGAGCATCCCTTGCCCCAGACCGAGAGTTCCTATCTAGACCTTGTAGCCACTGATGGACTTCTACTCCAGATGCTTCTAGACTTTTCTCATGTTCAACGTGTCCGGGGTTGCATGCACACCAGACCTTAACTCTCTGGATGACCTGGAAACCCTTTCGCTGTTTTGGAGATGCCCTTCATACCCCATTTTGAGCAAGAGCCCTTAAGGTAGGCTTTCCCAATAATCTGGGAATTGTGGGCTCCACAACTAACAGATTTAATCTCCTGATCATGAGGAAGACTCAAAACCATTGTAGGTGATCTTTTGAATCTCCTCTTATGGGAGAGAAAGGTACAAGGGCTTCCTTTTGGAATCTGAATAACTGGAAGGGGGTGGTGGAATCTGGGATCACACAAGGACTAAAATTCAGGTCTCTGTGTATCAAAAAGTGTCCCAACATTTTTCGTATCCCATCAGTCACCAGGACCTCAGTGTCTTTATCAAGATATCCTATATATGTAAAAGCCCAACATATTGGCACTTTCCGCTTCTCCCGCTGGCTGTGCTGTGTGCTCCATCAGCCATTGGCCCATCAACCGCCACTCACATGCCACTGGATGGGGGCTGGGTCTGCTCCTCTCCCCCGCCCACTGCCAGCCTGGCCACTTCCAACAGAATAATCTGCCAAAACAGCTGTCTCTCCTGATGAAGATGTTTCTCCTGCTTGGCTCCTGTGGAGCTTTTTCCTCAGTGGCTGTTGCTAGGTAACCAAGCTTGGTTCTGTCAGTAAAAAGGCAAAGGCAGGAGGCCCATTCCAGGCCTACTTTGGCTTTGGTGGGGAACTCACTGGGGCCAGTCCTGACTAGGGTTGCCAGCTCCAGGTTGGGAAATTCCTGGAGATTTTGTGGTGGAGTCTAAAGAAGCCAGAGTTTGGGGAGGGGTGGGACAATGCCATAGCCTCCACCCTCCAAACCAGCCATTTCCTCCTGGGGAACCAATGCTGCCAATCTCCAGGTGAGGGCTTGAGATCACTCAGAATTATAACTGCTCTCCAGATGGCAGAGATAAGTTCCCCTGGAGAAAATGGCTGGTTTGCAGGGTGGACTCTGTATCATTGTACCCTGCTGTGGTTGCTTCCCTTCTGCTTTGGTCCCCACTGCAGAGAAAGACTGTACTTTTCCTAGGTAGAGGCTGCAGGGGTGGTGGTGGTAAGCTGAAGTCAGAGGGGCAGATAACAGTACGTTGATGGTTGCCTGGGAAGGAGATGGGATTGCCACCTCCAGGTTGGGAAATTCCTGGAGATTTGAGGGGTGGGGCCTGGAGAGAGTGGGGTTTGAGGAGGGGTGGGACCTCAGCAGAGGTCATTTCGGGGGGGAACGCGGGGGAACGCAGTTCCCCCGGGTGAGGTGCAGGGGGCGGGGCACATGACGAAGCCCCGCCCCCTGCTTCCGGCCGCCCCGCTTCCAGCCCTCATTCAGCCAGGAGGAGGCAGGAGAAGAGGGAGGGTAAGTTGCTTCCTCCCCGCCTCTCCCCACCCCTGCCTGCCTGGGGCCAGGGAGGGCCTTGGCGGGGCTTCCTCGCACTCCCGCTGGCCTTGCAGGTCCACCGCCGGGCCCCTGATGTCAGGGTGTGTGGCATATGCTAATGAGTTATGCTAATGAGTTCCCCTAGCTCTTTTTCTACGAAATGACCCCTGGACCTCAGACAGGTACAATGTAATGGTTTCCATCCTCCAAACCATCCATTTCCTCTTGGGGAACCATTGTTGCCAATCTCCAGGGGAGGGCTGGCGATCACTCAGAATTACAACTGCTCTTCACATGGCAGAGATCAGTTCCCCTGGAGAAAACGGTAAGCTCTGTGTCATTATACCCCATTGAGGTCACCAGAGCAAATTGACGCTGAATGCTCAAGGCCAGGGCACCCGCCCAGAGCCTCTTTCTAGATCTTGTTGTATTAATTTCCACAACGGGCCTTATTCCTAGTATGAACATAACGATAGAACAATACTTTGCAAATGAGGGAACCTGGAGATCTCGGAAGCTCCAGAATTTTCTGTGGGAGGAAGGAACTGCTCCTCCTACAGAAGACTTCTTTCTTTAAACGGAAGCACTACTGAATTCAACCCCAGGTAATTTCTTAATGTTTCTCAAAAAAACAACTCACTAACATTTTAATCATTTACATGGATTGCGCCAGAATAAAACTGCACGCGGAAAACTGAACTCCCAGATGCCCTGTCCCGAGCTCTCTCATGTCTCCTGTTCCTTATGGGGTGGGGCTTGTAGGGACCAGTGCACTGTTGTGGTGGCAACTGCACACATGTTGGCCAGGTGCAAATGTGCTGACTTTGGGCCTCTGTTACTGTTTTAGGAGATCATCTCTGTGCAGGTGAATATGGCTTCTATGACCCTAACTCCCCCTCCACTTTAAATATGGATTTATTGCAAATGGCTTCATCTCACACCACTTGCAGACAGGGCCGACTCACTCACTAGGGGCGCCAAACTGCACCCAGCCCCCCCGCCCCTGCCAAAAGCCCTGACCGGGTGACCGCCAAGTCTGGCAAGTGAGCCCAGAAGCGCTTACTGCAAGCATAGCGTCCTCTGCGCCAACCCCCCCCATTTCTCCTCTCCTGCGCTGCACAAAATGCTTTTAACAGACTTGCCTGGATAAATGGTTACACTCCTGTGCAATGTTCCCTCTAAGCTGTGGAGTCCTGTGAGCAAAAATACTACTTTCTGAGCTACTGGCATTGTGGGGGGGCACACGGGGAGGCGATGAACGGGGGAGGGGGGCACATGGGGGGGTGCCAGAAGGGATCCTCGCCTAGGGTGCAAAATAAGCTGGAGCTGGCCCTGCTTGCAGAGCAGACACAAACGGCAAGGCTTTCTCACACTCACAGGATCGTGGGGACAGCTCATCCTGCCCATGCTTCTGAAGCACTGCTAGAGACACCCAGCCCTTACGGGTTTGTTGGGGCTTTCTTGTCACCGGGAAAACATCTGTCTTGTCTCCTGGGATCACTCACCTTCGGCATCAAACTGAACGGGGGTGCATGGGCCACCACTGGGCTTCCAGGGACACAGGAAGACAGCGCCTCCCTCCACCACTCCAGGCTGAGAGGTGTTGGCTCGAGGGGCTCCCACCGCCACGTTCACGCTAAAGCAAGAAGACAGAACAGCATTGGGACTGCACACCCCACCCCCTCCTCTTTGGCTCAGGTTCCCAGGAACAGACGTTGCACTCCCCCCACCAGCAAGCTAAAGAAGAAACTGGTTCTCCAGAGCCGATTTCTCTCACGGAACTCTCCTCTCCCTGTCAAAAACCTGGTGGTTCAACTGGAGCATAAACGTTTCGAGAGATTTACAGGGCTATTTTTGAGCAGAAACGCACAGGAACGGAGCTCCGGCTGGCTCCGGAGTTGGCCACGCCCAGCAGGAACTCATTAGCATAATAGGCCACACCCAACAGCAGGAACTCATTAGCATAATAGGCCACACCCAACAGCAGGAACTCATTAGCATAATAGGCCACACCCAACAGCAGGAACTCATTAGCATAATAGGCCACACCCAACAGCAGGAACTCATTAGCATATCCAGCCACACCCACCTTTTGCTTCTTATTCTGTTTACCTTCTTTGTTGTCCAAACCCAGGGCCTTTTTTTGTAGCAGGGACTCCTTTGCACCCCTAATGTAGCCAATCCTAATGAGTTCCTGCTGTTGGGTGTGACCGATTACTGTAATTAGTTCCTGCTGGGCTTTTTCTACAGAAAAGGCCCTGGAGATGTATACAGATTTTTTTAAAAAATCAAAAAGTGAGCCGTGCATTTGTCCGCACCACCCCGTTCCCTTTCCACGACTGAGGCAGAATCTAATCCAAAATCTGCAGGGTCAGCCCTAGCATTGTGGAGGCCACTTGCCCCAGGGAGCAGATCTGCGGGGATCAGGCAGTGAATGGTCAGCTGTTATCGTTATGTCTTTTTTTGATCACGGGAGGGGGGACATGATTTGGATTTTCTTCCTCAGATACCCAAATGTCCTGGGCCATCTCTGAGCTCCAGCTCTTGGGAGGGAAAATGAAATAACGTACCCACCGGGCAGTCATTCTCACCAACGGAGCACGTTATTTTGCCTGAAGAAACCTCCGTGGTCGGTGCTCAGCACCCCCGGGCCTCAAGGACCTCGGCGGAGTGAGGGCAAGGCCACGGAGAACACAGACAAAATAACCTACAGCTCGATAGTTCAAAGGGCTGACGGGCAAACACCCCTAAACAGCACGGTGGTCAGGTCCAGCGCGAGAAAGGACTTCTTGCAAATACTGAATGGATGTAACAAAGTTGGCAGCAGTCGTTAAGAAGAAGTGGACGTTAAATGAAAAATGTAAGAACACCATCTCCTGCGTCCATTGCATGGGTGTCGGCCTCACTGAAACCCAAGGGATTTAACGCTGACTAAACAGGCAGAGGGTTGTCCCCGCGTGCCTGACACACACAGAAGAAACGGTTGTATTTTTTTATCTTGCTTTTCTTTGGAACTCGGACTCAAAGTGGTTCACGTGGAGCATCTTAATCGCTTCCCTCTAAAATACAAAGTAAACATTAAAAATGACTCGGCCTACAAACAGTAAGGAGCTGTGGTGGCTCAAGTGGTTAAGACGCTGAACTGCAGGCTGTGGAAGGTCGGTAGTTCAGCAGTTCGAGACCCGAGTGCGCTGCATGACGGAGTGAGCTCCCGTCTCTGGTTCTAGCTCCTGCCAACCTAGCAGTTTGAAAGCAAGAAATTGCAAGTAGATAAATAGGTACCACTTTGGTGGGAAGGGAACAGCGTTCCGTGCGCCTTGGGGTTTAGTCATGCCGGCCACATGACCACGGAAATGTCTTTGGACAGCGCTGGCTCTTCGGCTTTGAAACGGAGATGAGCACCGCAACCCTAGAGTCGGATTCGACTGGCTTTTGAGCAAGGGAACCTTTACCTTTTTACAAACAGTAAACCAACTAACCAAGGGTACAAGCAGTTTCAAAATCTTGCCTATACAGTTCTGGAAGTTGTGTAAAGAAGTGTGGCAAATCCGACCTCTCTCTCACCAGCTTTGGCAAGCAGCGAGGAAACACCAGAGCGGTAAGAGAAAAAGCCAAAAGAAGGCAGATCTTACCACCTTCAATTAGAAAGCATTGTCAAGGATGCCAATATAAAGCTGCCTTGTGGGATCAGAGCGCAGGGCCATCTAGCACAGCATTCTGTCTCCAGCAGGGACCCAAGGAAGATTACCAGCTAGGTCAGTGGTGGCGAACCTATGGCACGGGTGCCAGAGGTGGCACTCAGAGCCCTCTCTGTGGGCACGCGTGCCATCGCCCCGGCCAGGCCCAGACCATCATTAAAGTGTCGAATTCTCTGCCAAATACTTTTAAGTCAATGAAAGCATTTGGGATTGCTTTCCTTACTTTGTTTGGATCATCTTAAGTCAACGTATGGGTTGTTTTTTCTAAAGCAAAACCTCAGTATTCAGGTTAGATGGCCTTGTTGGCACTTTGCGATAAATAAGTGGGTTTTGGGTCGCAGTTTGGGCACGCGGTCTCTAAAAGGTTCGCCACCACTGAGCTAGGTGATCACAACCGGTCCGATTTACAGAATGAAAAACGTGTGGGGGAGAACCACGTGATCGCCCTGAGCCCCTGGAGGGAGAGCAGCCCAACAGAGCTGGAGAAGGTGCCAAACAGGGAAGTGAAAATGATTCTGGGGAACGAGGCACAGCTTCCAAGTGGTTCTGTGGCCGGGCCACTCGAGGGCCTGCTTGAGGAAGTGTCGGGCCTCGGGTGGCAAAGACGGTCGGGGCGCCACTCGCCCCCCTCGTCTGCGGTGTGGGAGTATGGCTGGCATCCCCTCCTGGGCCCGTGCCTCCTCCTCCACCACCACTTAGGCCCACGGCAAAGCCCCTGCTGCCTTGCCACCCGAGGCCCGGCTGAGGACCCAACCAGCAGTTGAGCCGCCTGAGGAGGAGGTGGGTGGGACCTCGCTTGGGGAGACAAAAGGCCTCGAACCTGCCTTGCCCAGAAGTTGGGGGGTTTCAGTGTGGGAACACAAGGAAGATTGCAGAAGGCGGCAATGGTAGCATGCAGTGTTCCCTCTAAGCTGAGTTAGTGTGAGCTAGCTCACAGTTTTTTAGCCTCCAGCTCACACATTTTTGTCTTCGCTCAGGAAGGAGGGCTCCAGAGCACACTAATTGATGCAGTAGCCAAACTGCTCGCTCACAACTTTAATGCCAGTAAGCTCACAAAGTAGAATTTTTGCTCACAAGACTCCACAGCTTAGAGGGAACATTGGTAGCATGCTAGAATGCTGGGAGTTACATGGAGCGGAAAAATGGAAACACAAAACCCGGATGGAAGCGAGAGGCAATATGCTAGAAAAGCCATAGTAACAGAACTCGTCCACACCACATGGCGGGAGGCACAGTACAGATCTTGTCGGCCTGGTCTATCCCGGGACACCTCTTTTCTGCAGGCCGCAGGCCCCAGTTTCGAGATGATTTTTGTTTAGTGTGCATTTGCACCACGCCCACCCGTCCCCATTCCTACTCATACCTGCCTTTACTGTCCCGGTAGAAGTCCAAGGCAAAGCCAAAGTAGCTCCCGTTGGGTCCAGAGAAGAACGTGGGATTGTCGGCGTGCAAGTTGAAGGTCTCCACAGGGGAGCCAAGGAGCCAGACCCCAGCCAGACAGAGCCAGGAAGGGGCAAGTGGTCCCCAGCCAGCGTGGGATCCAGCCATTCTCCTCCGATGGCTCCTCCACCAGCATTGATCGAGCATCGGTGCAGACTGCCGCACCCAGTCGCAACGGCCATCGTGACGCATTTCCTAAAGGCCTTCCTGTCTGCCAACTCAGCTTTAAGCCACATTTTTTATCAATTCATGCGCGGGCTTCCTGGCACCCCTCAATGTGGCGATGACATGTCGGCTGGCATCTGGCAAGGACAGGCCACAGTCCCAAGGGAGGACATCACACTCTTCCTCCCGAACAATGCGCACACGTGGGCTTGTGGTCTCCCACGTATATTAACAATGGGCGCCACACATCTCGGAAGCGTTTGCGGGCAAGGGCTCCCGGGACTTAGCCGGTTTTACTTTGGCAGCCCCCTTCCCCTAAAGGCCGGTTTACAGGACAGCTGTGGTTAATAGAGATAAAGGGGGCAGCCAAGGGCAAAATGGGATGAGATCTGCCCTCACTGGTTGTATCATAAGAACACAAGAGACGCCAATGTTGGATCAGGCCAAAGGCCCATCCAGTCCAACACTCTGTGTCACACAGTGGCCAGAAATACCAGGGGCCATCAGGAGGTCCACCAGTGGGGCCAGGACATTAGAAGCCCTCCCACTGTTGACCCCCCCCCAAGCACCAAGAAGACAGAGCATCACTTGCCCCAGAGCCCCTAGCTATACCTTGTGGCTAATAGCCACTGATGGACCTCTGCTCCATATGCTTATCTAATTCCCTTTTGAAGCTGTCCATGCTTGTAGCACCCACCACTTCCTGTGGCAGTGAATTCCATGTGTTAATCACTCTTTGGGTGAATAAGTACTTCCTTTTATCCGTTCTAACCCGACCGCTCAGCAATTTCATGGAGTGCCCACGGGTTCTTGTATTGTGAGAAAGGGAGAAAAGTACCTCTTTCTTTACCTGCTCTTTCCCATGCATAATCTTATAAACCTCGATCATGTCACCCCTCAGTCGTCTTTTCTCCAAGCTAAAGAGCCCTAAGCGCTTTAACCTTTCCTCATAGGGAAAGTGTTCCAACCCTTTTATCATTCGAGTTGCCCTTTTCTGCACTTTTTCCAAAGCTATAATATCCTTTTTAAGGTGTTGTGACCAGAATTGCACAGTATCAATCAAAATAAATGCCTCAGGAAATGCCCATTGTGTGTTGGGTGCCTCATTCACCATCACCAGACATCCTCAGCACCCACCCACCCCCCGGCTTTGTCCAAGCCCCTCACCAAGCCCGGCTCCAACCTCGTCATGCATCCGACAGTGTGGGCCCAGGCAGTGCAAAACCTCACCCTACAATACTTGCTCTTTTTTAAGGGGCCACAACAGACGGGCTCCGCTATCCCAGTCTTTTTCAAGTCTAACTTTTGCAGCCTTGAATGTTGCTTGAAATGCATCTGTGTTTTCAACACAAAGCACGATTGCTGGATGCTGAATTCTGCAGCCAACTGTCCAATCCACAGCACAGCCCTCGATGAAAAGATTAGGCGCACACAGGAAACACTAGGACCTTTTCAGTTCTAGGCATCCCAGAAAATTCTCTGTACTCATTTCGATGCTGAAACCCTCCAAGTATACAACCGCACTCTGAAGTAACACTTGAATGCAATTCTGTTTTAGACGTCAATGAACAGATTCTGCAGTTTTGCTTACTGAACTTCTTTTTCCTCCAAGAAAGATGGCCGTGATCCCCAGCAAAGCTTTTCATAATCACCTAGCATCGTACTAGTTACCTACTGCCTCTTGAGCAAATGTGTCCTTCTCCCACACTGCTTGAAGTGGAAGGTGAGGCTGAAACATGCAAAGAGGTGTTTCGATAAATCTGAAGGGTAGCTCTGCTTTGAACATGTCATTTTAACTTTAAATTATCTCTCTCGCTCACAAGAAAATAAAACGTTGTAATATTACCCTACAGGAAAATGCACACCACGATCCCAAAGTTATTTACACAAAGTCAATTCCGTCGGTTTCAGTGGAATTCCAGGCGAGACCAAAGCTCCTAGTCCAGATTTCTGCCACGAATCTTCCAGATGGCATTGAGAGTCACGGTTCGCACAGACTAAGATCCCCCACCCGCAGCATGGGTGCGCCAATAATACTGATATGCTCTCTAGGTGGAAAGTGAAGTGGGCCAGGATTGCAGGATCAGATGAGAAAATGATGAATGGAACTCTAATGGTACAGCCCTATGCGGAGCCGCATCCTTCAGACTCCATTCAAATGGGCTTAAGGTAAAGGTTTCCCTTGCTCGAATAAAATAATAAATGGAACTCTAATGGTACAGCCCTAAGCAGAGCCGCATCCTCCAGACTCCATTCAAATGGGCTTAGAATGGTGTAAATCAGCCTCGGACCCGACTGCCAAGCTCCAAAACAGTTCCGACCACCCTAAAGGAAGACTGGTTTTCTCCACACACGTTGTCAAGCAAAAGGCAGGACCATCTTTAATTAACATACAATTAAAACAATTAACATACCATTTTTTTAAAAAAAAACCCTTTTATTTTCTGAGGAATCCCCTTACATTCAGAATTGATTTCCTTTAGGATGAATGTATTTGAGTGTAGAAGGCCGAAAAGATCCCTCTCCCCGCAATATTTTATCTGTGTGGAGGTGTCAAGCAAATCGTTGGATGCTCCAGATGTGTTGTTGATAAAGCAAGTCTAGGACAGCGTGCGCCACCTTTGTCTGTTAATACCTGAAGACAACTTCTAAGGACTCAGGATCTGTCCTGTAAAAGGAATGGAGAAATACCTCTAAACATGCAGAGAGTTCTCTGTAGCCCAACTTAGAATCTCACTCCCAATGAGCTTTAGCACATGTAAAAGGCTACGAAGACCTGCCTTCCTGTCTTGGTTTCTCTGCAAGAGAGCGTTAAGGGCACCTCCCCCTATTTCCTGCCTCACGTGGAGTCCGGGGAAGATCCTCTATCGGCCAGGCCCAGCTGCCTCATCCCCGGATGCTGGTGGGACCAGGAGGGGCTGTATCAGGAAGCCACAGCGCTAGGGGCAGAGGAGGGCACCGAGACAGACGGCAGGGCCGGATCCTCCTTTTGGACTCATTTCTTCCATCGTCCCACTTTGCACTGTTTCAGCCACCACAGAACAGACCTGACCTTTTCAAGAAATATTAATTCAGGTTTCGGGCTATGCAAGCACTGAGAGAGGGAACCTTCAGCAGGGCTTTAAAGGACTGGCAGCATCGAGACCCTACTTTGCAATGCTTCTCTTGCCTTACAATTATTTCAGCAGCTGGAGGAAAGGGTCGAGAGGCTCAGCAGCGTACATGCAAGCATTCTGATGCCACCAACGGGCAGGACTTCTTGCTGTAACTGCTTAAGGGATGGAGTGTGTGCCCGGTGTCTCATGAGAAGTCAGTGGTAGTTGTTGTTCAACCATTCGTGGGAACGGGGCCCAGGAGCATGTTGTGGAAACAAGAGCTTTGAGAAGCCAAAGGAAGATATGGGTCACAGCAAATATGTGGGAGTCTGGGGGACAGAGAGAGAAGCTTTCCTAGACACAAGGACAGGTGTGGTAAGACTGCCTGAAGGAGGGGAGGGAGAAAATGAGGGAGGAGGCAGACAGAAGCACAAAAAAAGGACCTTTAAAGCCCTTTATGGCCAGGGACCTGCATACTGGAGGGACCGCCTTTCCCCACATGTACCCCAGAGAACACTGCGATCTGGGACCCAGAATCGGCTGGCTCTCCCAAACTTCAAAGAGGCCAGAGATTGGTGGTAACTAGGGGCAGGGCTTTTTTGGTGGGGGCTCTACTCTGGTGGAATGAGCTCCCAGAGTAGACCAGAGCCCTGCGGGACCTCTCACAGTTCCGCGGGGCCTGTAAAATGGAGCTATTCTGCCAGGCTTTTAGTTGAAGGAGCGGACCTCCAATACTATTGGCCCCTCCTGCGATATCTATGCTGGTGGAACCCTGACCCACTGGACCCTTAAATACGGTCAGAGCCAATCACCTGAGACAGCCGAAGAAAGCCAAAGAGCTGACCGTAAAATGAGGAATGTTGCTAGCACTTTATGATGTCTGAATTTTAACACTGTATTTATATTAATGTGATTTTATGTTATTGTATTGTTGGAATTTTAACTGTTTTGTAAGCTGCCCTGAGCCAGCCTAAGCAGGGATAAAAATCTAACAAATAATAAATAAATAAATAAATAAATAGAGCATGCGCGGAAAAAGCAAACCCAGGGCCTGGGGGAGGGGGCCAGAATAAGAGGACCAGAAACTTCGCGCTGATGCTTTTTGGGAAAGAGAGACAGACATGCTTGCCCCCCAAATCACTAGTTTATTAGAAAGTTTATTTTCCTCATTTTTACAGCATATATATATATATATATATTTATATATATACTTTTATGTGACAGTTAAATACAGTCCGCAGGTACTGAAATCATAGTGTGTTCTCTTTGCTGTAAGCATTCTTGTAGAAGTCCAGTCTCATGAGCCCCGGGGTGGGGTGGGGGGTGCTGCACAGGCAGTCTGAACCTCAAGGCGAGGGAATGAAGCAGGGGACATTAATACTGTAACGTGTCGGATATCTACAGCAGCTACTAACAGCTGAGTGAGTCTCTTGGCTGGAACGCCAGCTTCCAGTGCTAATCCATCTGTCTCCCTGTGGCAAAGGGAAAGGGAGTTCACAGCAGTCTTGTCTGGGTCGCCCATTTCCGGGCAGGCTGGGCAAAAAGGAAAAAGGGGGTGGGGTGGGGATTTCTTTTTTTAATTTGTGAGAAGCGGCAGGCCGTCATGATGCCAGCTGACTGAGCCCAGACCAGAGCAGCATTACTGGGTCATAAAGAGCTGGCGTCCACCTGCACCTTCCCCTACGCAAGACTCGACAGGTCCTGCCCACCCAGGGGATGACAGGGGAGCTATTCCTGAAGAGGGCCATTAGGAAGCCAGGGCCACCCCCCCCCCTCCTGCTAGAAGAAAACCACAGGCAGGGTTCAGAACCAAAACACACCACCCAAAAACGCCTCTCCCCCCCCCACAAACAGAAGAAGGCACTAATGAAAATAAGAAGCCTTAAAAAGAAAACCACACATAACACGCAACTAGGATTCATGTCACAGCAATGTCTCAGAACAAGTGGGTGAACACAAGGGGGGGGGGAACCGCTGGGGGTGTGTGTCTTTTCTGTGGGGCTCACCGTTTCCCCTGACTGGCCAGTGACTTCTTCCCCTGCTAAGCCGAGCGGGCCCTTTCTTCCACAGGCGGGGGCCGGGTGACGGGCATCACCACATGGGGTGCCTCACTAAGCCCCTCTCCCCCCACCCGCTGCAGCTGCTAAGGGGCTCTCTGCTCCACGGGGGCGGGGAGAATTCACAGCTGCAGGGGCGGGGGAAAGAGGACGCCTGTGTCTAGATCACCAATCACATCTGGTCTTCTCTCCTGTTAACATGAAAAATGTTCCTTTTGGTTTTGTTTTTTTTTTACATTTTATAGTACATAAACACCCCACCCCGCAAAAAAAAAAACACGTGAGCTCGATAAAATATACATGCTTGAAGTCATCTTCCACCCAGCTGCAGCTAGGGACAGGGAACCTTTGACAAGAGTCTTCTTTCCGACTAAACCAGAACGTGGATAACCAAAAAGCCACTGGAACGAGAACCACCCAAAGAACGGCTGTCAAAAGTATTATTGCAGTAGACTACCTATATGGAACAAGTGTCAGAGGAGCTACAAAAAGCAGCATGTTGACATATACAGAGTTCAGTGCAATTTTTTTTTAAACTTCCTTCTTCTAAAAAAAATCATAAGTTAATAAGGAACCATCAATATTACAGAGGGGAAAAGTACAATTTACAGAGTCGTGTTTCGGACGTTCACAGGACTCCAGTCCACTGTATTGCTTCAAGGACTGAGAGGGACTCGCTCTCTTGCTCTCTCTCAGCAGCGTCATGGAGTGTGTCTGAAAGGGAAATGCCGCCAACTTCGTCTGACAACGGAAACGGGTCGTCGTCGGCAAGCAACTCTGGCGACAGGCTGACCAATGGGCTGCGGCGTGTGGTTCTCAAGGTGGAAGTGGGCGGCGACAGAGGGGCGGGGGTCCAGGAACTGAACTTCACCGGGATTTTTTCGCTCAGTCTAAGGTGGCCCCCAAACACAGGGAACAGAGTCAACATCATTCAGGTTTTATCTACTTAGTTTCAGAGTGGATGTAAAACATGAGCATCGGAAGTGACGGGTGGGGGTGGGGGGGAGAACACGGCCTCCCAACGAACCCGACACCCGGAGCAGCCATCCCCATGGACGCGGGAGACCCTGAACACCTTTGCCAGCCACGCGGCTTCCCCGCCTTCCACAGAGCGACTCCCCTCGTGTGACCCCTGAGCCTCTCCCTCCTTTGGCTGTTCTCAGGTCTCGTCCTCTCAGCGCCTTCCCTGGGCTGGAGAGAGACTGAAGTGCCCCTCACACGCTCGCAGCCCCTCCCCCCCACCCCGACGGAGGCAGCCTTCTCCCGGCTCTCTCATGTGCCATGGCTCGGGGGGTGCTGCAAGTCCTGTCCTGAGAAAATGGGGTGCAGGAGCGGGTGGAGGTGCAACGCGGTGGCGGCGGCTGCCGTAGCCGGCCGGGGCGCCAGGAGGGTTGGGTAGAGGGCAGCGTGAGGGACAGGGTGGAAGGTGAAGGGGCCGGGGTGGATGGCAGGGGGGGGGATGATATGGATGGGGTGGCTGGCCAGGAAGGTGGCAGGGTGCCCGGGGATGATGGAGTGGGTCAGGTGGGACAGCGAGATGGGGGTCAGGAGGGGCTGGGGGATGTGGTGCCGGCGGCGGCGTGGTTCTGGAGGATGGCGTGCTGCACGGTGGTGATGGATGTGGCGGCGGCGGTGGGCTGCTGGATGTGGATGGGCTGCAGGGCCGGGGCCGCCGCAGGCGCCAGAGCGGCGGAGGCAGGGAAGGCCTTGACCTGCTTGGCCAGGAGCTGCTGCTGGATGTGCTGCTGAGCGGCCTGCTGGAGCTTGCTGTACTTCTCCATCTCCTCGGGGGTGAAGGTGATGGGCTGGCTCTCGAGCGGGGCCAGGGAGGAGTCCTCGGCCCCTTCCAGCTCCCCGCTGATGCTGGGCTCCCCGCTCGGGGGCATGTAGCTGGGGAAGGGCTCCACGTCAGGCACTAAGGGCACTATCCTGTCTTCTATGGAGACGGGCTGGCTTTCAGGTTCCAGAGACTCGAGCGCCTCACTTTCGCTGGGGTCGGGGAGGAGGCTGTGGGGCACGACCAGCTCGCCTGACCCGTAGGACTCCGGGAGCCCTGGTGGTTCAGGGGGAACTGGGGGAGCCTCTGTGGCCGCTTCTTCCGGGGGCTGGTCTCCGGGAAGGGGGTCCAGGACTGTCCTCACTGCAGCCTCTTCCAACGGGGGCTGGCTCCCCGGGGCTGGCTCCCCGCCATCTGGGGTGGCATCTTCTGGCTCCGACAGCTCTGGCTCCTCTCCTCGGTCTACACCAGGCTCCTCACACCGCTTGGCGCTCGGTTTGCGGACAGTGGGGAGCTTTCCGATTAATGGGAGGACGGGCTTGTTGCCTAGTGAGGGTGGGAGCTTTGGGCCAAAATAGCCCTGGGGGGGATCCTTCAGCTTTATTCCGACCTTGTGGGGGGGCCCTGGGGCATCCTCGTTCCCAGCAGTCTTCTTCTCCACCTTTCTGGACTGCACCTTCTCCAAGAGCAGCTTGGCTGTTGCAGAGTTCTTCTCCTCAGAACTGCAGTTGCTCCCCACGTTGGAAGCACTGCTGTTCTGGGAGAGACCGCCGGCCCCTGCGGCTTCGTCTCCTCTCACCTCCTCCTTCCTCGGAGGTCCCTCTCCTGGCCTTGCTCGGAAGTAGTGCGGGGACTGTGAGCGGTAGATCTTGGACCGGATGAAATCTCGCCGCGCAGATCGCCTCTCGCTGGGGCTCTCGTGGCCTCGGGAGCCCTTCCGGGAAAGAGACCTCTGCGATAGGCTTCTCGTGCTCCGGCTACGCTCCCGGCTGTAGCTCCGGCTCCTTTTCCAGCTGTGTCCTGTGCGGCTGCGACTCCTGCGCTTACTTCGGCTGCGGCTGCGGCTGCTGCTGCGTGTCCTGCCCCGACTTCTCGTCCTCGATCTTCCCCTGGCGTGGGTTCGACTCCTGCTTCGGCTCCGGGACCTGCTCCTGCTCAGGCTGTAGTCGTCTTCTGAAGAGGAGTACTTGTGCCGTTTCGACCGGCGCTTGGAACTAGTATAGTCTGAATCGTCCTCTGAGTCATGGGAACGTTTGGTGCGACTCCGCGACCGGTCGCTGTAGCCACTGTAGCTGTCCTCGGAGTAGCTCCGCCGGTGGCTGTACTGGCTGTGGTCCGAGGAGGCATAGGAGCTCGTCGAGTAGGACCTCTGGGATGACCTTCGGGAGGAATGCCTCCGGCCCGACCGGGAGCGGCTCCGAGAACAGTCGCTGCCCGAGTCGTAATCACTGTACTGCGACGCTGACTTCTGCCTGAAGTGCTTGCGGCAGGAATCCTCGTCACTCTCGTAGCAGCCGCTGCTCTGTCGGCCCTTGTGGCCGGGGCGGCCCACGGCTGGGGCAGAAGGCCGCCTCTTGCTGGCAGGCAGCTCCTGTGGTGGGTCGCCTTTGTGTTTCTTGCTGCTGTGCTCCTGGGACAAGCTGCTGCTCTCTTCTCTCTTGCTGCCGCCGCCGCCGCTGCCACCATCTTCAGCAGAGACAGATTTCCGCTGGGATTCCGGAGGGCACCACTTCCTTTTCTTGGGATGGCCAACATCTTCGATCCCTTGTGCTCGCTCGCCCTCGGTGGGAAAGAAACACTTGCTCTTTTTGTGTTTGTGCTTCTTTCGCTTCTTGGCTCTCTCTTCTGACACTTCCCCTTCCCGGCTTTTCTCCTCTGCCTTGCCCTTGCGCCGGTGTTTCTGTTTGGTGGATTTCTTGTGCTTTTTCTTCTTTTTGTGTTTGTGGGACTTCCCCAGCTTGCCCTTCTGGCTAACGAGGTTGCCTTTGCCACCATCTTCTGGGCCGAAACCGCTGCTGGCATCCACAGGGCTGGACTCCTGCTTACTGCATGCTGGCAGGGACTTGCTCTCCGGCAGGGTGGAGGAGCTGCTAGGGAGGGGGCCTGGTTCTTTGCTCTTACTGACATCCCTGCCCTCAGCAGATGGCGTGTTTTCTTTTGAAAGACTGGCTGCTGCTTTCTGTTTGTCTGCCCCTTTTGCTTTACTGTCTTTGTTTCGAGACAACTTGAAGTCAAAATACAAGGGGTTGCAGCTGTACGAAACAGAGGGCTCTGCTCTGGTGAAAATAAGCAGTTCTGAAGGCCACTGAAGGGTGGTGCTCTCGTCCTTGCTTAGCACAGGGAAGAAAGGCCCCGTTAAATGCCTGGGCCCATCTGCTGCTTCTTTGCGGGCTGGCGCTGGGTGGGCAAGGTCTTTTGGGGCATCCAGCTCTGTAGTGCCGCCTTCCTTGGGCTGCTTGCCTTCTGGTCCACTCGCATCTTCAAGGATCTCTTTGTCTTCCGCTTTGTTGCTTTTGTTGGTGGGGCTGGGCTCCTTCAGCTGGTCAGCACGCTCTGCTTCTGCCACCTTATCGCCATTCTTGGCCACTCTGGGCTTGGGGGAATTACTTTGTTTCCTTTCCCGGGCCCCTTTCTTGCTCACAGCTTCCGCTTCCACCTGCTCCGTGGCCTTCATGAAGAGCAGGAACTGGAAGTTGGGTTTCACCTTGCAGTGGGCTGGTGGGATATAGTGATAGTACTCCGGTTCTACTGCCAGTGGCCCGTCCTCTCGCTTTACCTTCTTCGTTTTCAACAGTGAGGCGCTTGCCCCCGCTCCATCTTTCTCCTGCTGCTGCTGCTGCTGCTCCTCCTCGTCCCCCTTGCTGTCGGGGCTGTTGGTCCTCTCTGCTTCCCCGATCTTCCCTAAAGCGCCAGAGTCCGAAAGGGCTCTATCCTCAGCTTTGACTTCGTCAGGAGAGCCTGCCTCATCCACGTGGTCTTTAAACACAGAGGCAATGGACTCCAGCTTCACAGGAGCCTTTTTGGCAAACGAGAAAGACACCCCTAACTTCTGAAGAGGGTTGACTCCAAGGCTGATGGTCTGCGGTGCCTGTACGGGGACTTGCCCAACCCCTGTGTTGCCAGTGGCCGGCCCGCTGGGATAAACAATGGCTTTGTCTATGGTCACACACACGGGCTGCCCAGAAGCTGGTGAGAAGGAGGAACAGCTGCTGGGAGCTGCCACCTCGGTCTCCTCCTCTCCTCCTTCTTCGTCTACAGCCACAGTGGTGGTTCGGAACATTGGCCCACTTCCTGGAGCACTGTGGGATTAGAGAGAGAGGGGGAGAGAGAGAGAGAGGGAGAGAGAGAGAGAGGGAGAGAGAGAGGGAGAGAGAGAGAGGGAGAGAGGGGGAGAGAGAGGGAGAG